AAAATTCTTTTGTTTTTATTTTTCTTTTTTTAATTTGTTAGATTTTATTTAATAATTTTTCTGTTTATAATTTTGAGTTAATAAAAAGTTTTGTCAAAAGCCAATGTCATGTGAATGAGGACTTTTGTTGTTGTTATTATTATTAAAATGAGTTAAAGAACAATTATTTTAGAATAATCAGACAATGTTAAGAATTATTCTAATCTGTTAAATAAATTATTAATAATTGAGATTTTGACAAGTGGATAAATTTGAAGATAACATGATATTTGAAAAAAAGCTTTTATATAAAAGGCTTATTTTAGGCTTACCATAGATCAGAGACAAGACTATAAACTAGAATGTAGACTAGACTGTAGACTAGACTATAGACTAGACTATAAACTAGACTATAGAATAGACTATAGACTAGACTATAGACTAGACTATAGACTAGACTGTAGACCATAGACTAGACTATAGACTAGTCTATAGACTAGACTATAGACTAAACTATAGACTAGACTATAGACTAGTCTATAAACTAGTCTATAGACTAGACTATAGACTAGACTATAGACTAGACTCTAGACTAGACTATAGACTAGACTATAGACTAGACTATAGACTAGACTATAGACTAAACTATAGACTAAACTATAGACTAAACTATAGACTAAACTATAGACAAGACTATAGAGTAGACTATAGACTAGACTATAGACAAGACTATAGACTATACTATAGACTAGACTATAGGCTAGACTATAGACTATAGACTAGACTATAGACTAGACTATAGACTAGACTATAGACTAGACTATAGACTAGACTATAGACTAGACTATAGACTAGACTATAGACTAGACTATAGACTAGACTATAGACTAGACTATAGACTAGACTATAGACTAGACTATAGACTAGACTATAGACTAGACTATAGACTAGACTATAGACTAGACTATAGACTAGACTATAGACTAGACTATAGACTAGACTATAGACTAGACTATAGACTAGACTATAGACTAGACTATAGACTAGACTATAGACTAGACTATAGACTAGACTATAGACTAGACTATAGACTAGACTATAGACTAGACTATAGACTAGACTATAGACTAGACTATAGAATGGACTATAGAATAAACTATAGACTAGACTATAGACTAGACTATAGACTAGACTATAGACTAGACTATAGACTAGACTATAGACTAGACTATAGACTAGACTATAGACTAGACTATAGACTAGACTATAGACTAGACTATAGACTAGACTATAGACTAGACTATAGACTAGACTATAGACTAAACTATAGACTAGACTATAGACTAGACTATATACTAGATTATAGACTAGACTATAGACTAGACTATAGACTAGACTATAGACTAGACTATAGACTAGACTATAGACTAGACTATAGACAAGACTAGTATATAGACTTGACTATAGACTAGACTATAGACTAAACTATAGACTAGACTATAGACTAGACTATAGACTAGACTATAGACTAGACTATAGACTAGACTATAGACTAGACTATAGACTAGACTATAGACTAGACTATAGACTAGACTATAGACTAGACTATAGACTAGACTATAGACTAGACTATAGACTAGACTATAGACTAGACTATAGACTAAACTGTAGACTAGACTATAGATTAGATTATAGACTAGAGTTTAGATTAGACTATATACTGGGCTATAGACTAGACTATAGAATAGACAATAGTTTTAACTATAGATTATACTATAGACAATATTATAGCCTTGATTATAGACTAGACTATAGACTAGCTTAAAAGCTTTTATATAGACAGTATTTCTGAAAAACTTTCCATATAGAGAGTTTAAAAAAAAAAGCTTTAAAAGCTTTTGAAAAATAAATTTATATAGAGATTTGAAGAAACGTTTTATGTAGAAAGGAACTGTCTTTTGCTCAATATACAAATTTAACAATTTACTACATTTTAATTATTTATGCAACAATTTGTTAACTTGCAACATCATCTTCAACTTACGCAGATTAGTATACATAACATGCTACACAAAAAATCCAACTATATAAGCTTACGAAATATTTCAGTTAATACCATATTTCATAATGCTCCGACACAGGGTTGAAAGGTGCCTAAATGCAACTGCACCAACAGCATCATCACCACCACAATCAACTGAATAAATGAACTACTCGCATGAGGCAAACCAAATCATACATATCTTTCAACTGACATTTATCGCTTTTTTTCTGCATAAGTTTAATTGCAACTGTCAGTTTTTGGTGTTAACACAAAAGCCAAAAAATAAAGAAAAAAATTAAACAAAAATATATTTATGTTGTTTGGGTCATAAATATTTAAACACTTGTAATGTCAGTAGTTTAACTTGCAAAATTGTTTTTGCAAGTTTTGTTGAAAACTTTTTCACTTTCAGTAAAGCTTCAATACATAATGTGTGCAACAAAAATCTTTATATGTATCACCTATGATTTACGGGCAAAATAATAAACTTTTCAGTTGAAACATTGTAGTTTAAATAGTTTTTAACTTATAGATTTTACGGCACAAAAAGTTTCCTTAGGCTGGGCGTCAACATTGTCAGTGATGGTTTTGTTAAACTAGTTCATGTTGTAGAAAGGTTTATGATGGCAATAAAAAAATGAAACTAGAAAACGATCTAGAAAGTATTTTTTAAAGGGATACTTTTCAGACTAGGTTTTTAAGTGGATAATAAAATTTTGTTGATAAATTGCCCTTCTATTATGGAACCAATCTGTAAAACGGGGTAATAAATCACTCACAGAAGATTATGGATTATGAGAAGCTGAAACGCTCTTTTTCAATGAGTACATCTATTAAAAAAATTTTCATTTCTATAGAAAACAACTCATTAACTCATAGAATGTTTCTATATGACTCTATAGAAAAAACTTTATGACACGTAGAGTTTTTCTATAAAAAAATACTATAGACTGGTCTATAGTCTAGTCTATAGTCTAGTCTATAGTCTAGTCTATAGTCTAGTCTATAGTCTAGTCTATAGTCTAGTCTATAGTCCAGTCTATAGTCTAGTCTATAGTCTAGTCTATAGTCTAGTCTATAGTCTAGTCTATAGTCTAGTCTATAGTCTAGTCTATAGTCTAGTCTATAGTCTAGTCTATAGTCTAGTCTATAGTCTAGTCTATAGTCTAGTCTATAGTCTAGTCTATAGTCTAGTCTATAGTCTAGTCTATAGTCTAGTCTATAGTCTAGTCTATAGTCTAGTCTATAGTCTAGTCTATAGTCTAGTCTATAGTCTAGTCTATAGTCTAGTCTACAGTCTAGTCTATAGTCTAGTTATAGTTTAGTCTATAGTCTAGTCTATAGTCTAGTCTAGTCTAGTCTATAGTCTAGTGTATAGTCTAGTCTATAGTCTAGTCTATAGTCTAGTCTATAGTCTAGTCTATAGTCTAGTCTATAGTCTAGTCTATAGTCTAGTCTATAGTCTAGTCTATAGTCTAGTCTATAGTCTAGTCTGTAGCCTAGTCTATAGTCTAGTCTATGGTCTAGTCTATAGTCTAGTCTATAGTCTAGTCTATAGTCTAGTCTATAGTCTAGTCTATAGTCTAATCTATAGTCTAGTCTATAGTCTAGTCTATAGTCTAGTCTATAGTCTAGTCTATAGTCTAGTCTATAGTCTAGTCTATAGTCTAGTCTATAGTCTAGTCTATAGTCTAGTCTATAGTCTAGTCTAGTCTAGTCTATAGTCTAGTCTATAGTCTAGTCTATAGTCTAGTCTATAGTCTAGTCTATAGTCTAGTCTATAGTCTAGTCTATAGTCTAGTCTATAGTCTAGTCTTATAGTCTAGTCTATAGTCTAGTTATAGTCTAGTCTATAGTCTAGTCTATAGTCTAGTCTATAGTCTAGTCTATAGTCTAGTCTATAGTCTAGTCTATAGTCTAGTCTATAGTCTAGTCTATAGTCTAGTCTATAGTCTAGTCTATAGTCTAGTCTATAGTCTAGTCTATAGTCTAGTCTATAGTCTAGTCTATAGTCTAGTCTATAGTCTAGTCTATAGTCTAGTCTATAGTCTAGTCTATAGTCTAGTCTATAGTCTAGTCTATAGTCTAGTATATAGTCTAGTCTATAGTCTAGTCTAGTCTATAGTCTAGTCTAGTCTATAGTCTAGTCTATAGTCTAGTCTATAGTCTAGTCTATAGTCTAGTCTAGTAGTCTAGTCTAGTCTAGTCTAGTCTATAGTCTAGTCTATAGTCTAGTCTATAGTCTAGTCTATAGTCTAGTCTATAGTCTAGTCTATAGTCTAGTCTATAGTCTAGTCTATAGTCTAGTCTATAGTCTAATCTATAGTGTAGTCTAGTCAGTCTAGTCTAGTCTATAGTCTAATAAATAGTCTAGTCTTGTCTAGTATTGTCTAGTCTAGTCTAGTCGAGTCTAGTCTAGTCTAGTCTAGTCGAGTCGAGTCTGGTCTACAGTCTACAGTCTTGTCTAGTCTAGCCTATAGTCTAGTCTAATCTATAGACTATAGGATAGTCTATATTCTATTGTATAGTCTGGCCTATAGTCTAGTCTATAGCCAAGTCTATAGTTTAGTCAATAGTCTAGTCTACAGTTTAGTTTATAGTCTAGTCTATAGTCTATTCTAGACTCTAGTCTATAGTGTAGTTTATAGTCTAGTCTATAGTCTAGTCTAGTCTGCAGCCTAGTCTATTGTAACGTCTATAATCAAGTCCATAGTTTAGTCTACTGTTTAGTTTATAGTCTGGTCTATAGTATATGTTTATGACTTACGGAATTTTTCGGGAGACAAATTCCTTAGCAATGGCTGTGTTTTGATGATTTTGTTTACTATTTCTCCACGTCTCAATCATTCTGTGATTAAAACTATTTCATACTTAAAAGTGCAAAAAATGTCTCTTTATTCAAAAATTTCACGTTTACAAATTGTTGCTACTTAAATTCTATATTTAACGATAGTTAATAATAAATACCTTGCTTCCATCAATCTCCATTTATATCCCCCACTCCTGCAATGGTATAATTTATGCCAGCATGTTGGGTAGCTGAGGCCCAACTACGTCGGGGTAAAATCCTGCCAAAATTAAAGTATTTTTGCCTTAATTTCTCTTTAATTTCATCTTCATTCATTATAGCGCTAGCTTCTCGAAAATTCAAAAATATTCTTCCCTTTTCATCGGTTTTAATGGGTAGGATTTCAGTACAAACATTGCGTGCTTTTAGGAGGAACCCTTCCTGCTCGGCGGCGGAGTTTTCACTCTCATTATTTTCCTCATTTTCATCTTTATCATTACAAACTTTGGCATGATTATCCAGTCTTGAGTCTACCGATTGAGAACGTGAATGTTTACTATTGGCTGCTGTATGACAATGTTTTTTCTTGTTGCGCAAACAAAAGGGATCACGATCACTGGCCTTGACATATTGCACTATGGGCCGGTTAACACCCCATTTAGGACGTTCATCTATTTTGTTGTGGGCCTCTTTGGGGTTACGTTTTTTATCTTTATCTTTAGATTTGGCCTTGAAAGTAGTGGTTGTTGTGGTCGTAGTAGTGGTAGTGGTCTCATGATCTTTATCAGCTTCTTTGGCAGGTTTGGTTTTTGTCTTGGCTGTATGAGTAGTGGTGGTAGTGGAGACTTCGCGTTTTAGCAAAACTTTATAAAAGTTGTCGTGGAACAGGCATAGATCACAGTTTAGTGGTAATTCTGTTTGTGTCTCCACATCTTGACTAATTTTGGACTCTTGTTGGTCCTTCGAGTCCTCTGAGGATTCACTGAGCGATTGCTTGGAACGATTGATTAAGGGTATTAATGCCAGTTTATTTGAATCTTCCTCGGGTTCGGCAAACTCCACCTGTTTTCCCAGATTCTCGCGTGTACTCTTCTCTTGAGGTTTTCCTTGGTTTTCAAATATATCATTGACGGTTTGGGTACCTTTTTCTATGTCTTCCACCTTATCCGGTTGATAACCATCTTCGGTGTAAATGGAAGTATCGGTCCTCTGGGTATAAGCTCCTCCTGTTGTTTTTGAAAAATCGTCTGTTGTTGAGGCTGCTGTGGTAGGCTTAAGATGTTGCTGCATTAGATAAGTGGCAATTTGTAGATTACCTATAGCAGTCTGCAACCCCAAAATATCCGAAGTAACTGGCAGTGGTATGAGTGTAGCAGGCTGCATAATGACTACATTTTCTCCTGCTGGAGTGGTTTGTTTTTTGGTGTCTGTTGTAGGAGTTGGGGTAATGGGTTTGCTAAAGGCTCTTCTGAGATTAATGGGAGTGCCGATTAAAACCTTTTCCTCCTGTTGTTGTTGCGGTTCTTTTTCAGCCTGTGTGAGAACTGGTGTGTCAGGTTGCGACACCCTTGCTTGTTCTTCTTCTGCATCAATGGAGAGGACTTTTAATAATTCTTTGGGATTTTCTGCTCTAGATTCGTCAGTCCGCACGGCTTCATTGCTTTCCATTTCTTGACTTTCTTCTTCCTCCTGTTGTAGCTTCCTATTCCTTTTCTTTAGTTTTTCCATTTTGGCAGCCTGTTCGGCCTTGGCTATGGCATCTAGCATGGCTTGCTGTTTCCTCTTTTGCATTTCTTCCTTTTCTAACTGCTGTCTTCTTTCCATATCCAAACGTTCTTGCTCCATTTGCTTTTGTTTTCTTACACGCTCTTCTTCCAGTAGCTCTTCCTGTCTATGTCTTTCCAATTCCCATCGGCGCATGGATTCTCGTTCCTGCAGCTGTTGTTTGATAGCCATGTGATACTCAGCAGCTTTGCGTTTCTTATCCAAACGTTCGGCCATTACGTGTGGTTCTATGGGAGCATTTTGTCCTCTAAGATAGCAAGAAGATTGCAGAGATTGAGTATCATCTTCACTATCCTTTAAATCATGGAGACCACGACTTAGCCATCCTGGACCATATTGTTGTTGCAAATGTTTACTGTGACTATCCTGGTTTTGGTTATAACACCATTTGGCTCGTTCACGTTCCTCTTGGGTATGCTGGGTATAAATTTCTGATTCATCGGTATGATGTATTTGATAAGTATTCGAAGTGGATACATCACGGTTCGGAGTAGAAGGAGAATTAGAGGACTCATAGAAACTATAAAAAAACCAAAACCAATTATAAGTAAATATAAGAAATTCCTTTAGGATTACTCACCCTCCCTGCTGGTAACCTTTCACATTTTGCTGTAACTCCAAACCATCATCTGTCATAGGCCACCACTAGCTGCTGGTGTTGTTGTTGTTGCTGTGAACCCCTTCTCCCCTTAACAATATAAGTTTTATTTAGAACATGTTCGTCATTTTGAGTTTGTTGACCTTTCACCGTCCTCAACAATTGCTGCTGTTGTTGTTGTTGATTTATTATTGATCTTTTACTTCTTCTGCCCATATATTCCAAACCTTCTGCCGATATTAAACTGTTGCTGTCAACAGCACTTGCTACACTCTCCACCTGACTAGCGCCATCATTAAACCAAATATTAGGGGTGTGTATATTTTTAGGAGAATCACTTAAATAGCCTGAAGTGTCTTCTTCCTGGCAACCATTCGCTGGATTCCCTGGCAATACCTGTAACTGATTGTTTAGTCGATGATGGTGTTGTTGTTGTTGTTGCTGCTGGTTACCAGGATCCCCACTAATAAGTTGTGTGTTATGTGGATTTATAGCTAACTTTAAAGGAATTTTATCCTGCTGCTGTTGTTGCTGCTGCTGCTGCTGCTGTTGATTATAGGAAAAATAGTCACCCCGGTGACGTATGACGGGCAAACTAGGACTACGTATACGTTGCATATGTGTATTTTGATTTTGTATTCTACCCTTGGCTGTTTGCAAAGTATTGGGCATTAGTTCCACATAAGAATATTTACGTTGTCCAGGTTGTTGCGACATCATACTAGTAGTATTATGACGTTGATTTAATAAAGGCGCTCGTCCCGGATGATGGCTGTTCCTTCTCATTTTCATATAAGGCTGTAAATCATCCTCAAAATCTCCTTCATGTCCCATATCATCTAAGAAGTCTTCATCATCTCGATCAATATAATTATTCATGTAATCCTCTGGTCCTCTTTTCACCAACTGGTTATCTACAGCTGGCTGGGATTGTTGGAGTTGAGGTCTTTGTTTGGAATTGGGGTTTCTGTTATTAGAGGATTGCATATTATTATTGTAGGATTGTTGTTGCTGTTGCTGCTGCTGCTGTTGTTGTTGATATAAATGTTGCCTTGAGCTTCTCTTAGAGGTCTGACTCAGATCCAGGTTGGAGTAGTAAGTGCGTATGGAAGTGCGTTCTATTTTCTGGTGATGATGTGTGGAAGATGATGATTGCATAGAGGAGGAAAACATTTCATCCAATTTGGCAATCTCCTCTAGAAGAAGTAAAGAACATAAGATAAACTTTTCTGAGAAAATCTTTTCTTATAGAAAACCCCAGCGAGTCACAGAGCCTTTTCCTTTACAGAAAAACTCTGAGAGTCACATAGATTTGTTAAACAGAAAAATTTTGGAAGTCACAATCTCCTCTAGAAGAAGTAAAGAACATAAGATAAACTTTTCTGAGAAAATCTTTTCTTATAGAAAACCCCAGCGAGTCACAGAGCCTTTTTCTTTACAGAAAAACTCTGGGAGTCACATAGATTTTTTAAACAGACAAATTTTTGGGGTCACAGAATGTTTTACTGTGGAAAAACTCAAAGAAACGCGGAGTCATTTTCAATAGAAGAATTCTGAGAGAAAAACTGGGAATGACAGAAGCTTTCTATAAAAGAACTTGGAAAGTACTCGAATCCTTTTCTATAGAAAAACTCTGCGAGTCACCGAGGCTTTTTCCATATAAAAACTCTGAGAACCAGAGAGGCTTTTTCCATGGAAAAACTCTGAGATTCAGAGAGGTTTTTTCTATAGAAAAACTCTCTGACTCTCAGAGTCAGAGAGATTTATTTTTATAGAAAAACTCTGGAAGTTCTATAAACGAACTTTGAAAATCCCCGAAGCCTTTCCTATATAAAAACTCAGAGAGTCCCCGAGGCCTTTTCAATAGAAATACTCTGGGAGTAACAAAGGCTTTTTCTATAGAAAAGCTCTGAGAGTCAGAGAGGCTTTTCTATAGAAAAACTCTGACAGGCAAAGACGCCTTTTCCATGGAAAAACTCTAAGATTCACAGAGAATTTCTCTATAAATATATTGGAGAGTCAGAGAGGCTTTTTTTATAGAAAAACTCTGGGAGTCACATATGCTTTTTATATAGAAAAACTCTAATATGGAGAGAGATTTTTCAATAAAACAACTCTGGCAGTCATAGAGGCTTTTTCCATAGAAAAACTCTAGGGATCACAATGGCTTTTTCCACAGAAAAACTTTTTAAGTCACAGAGCCTTTTTCTGTACAAAAACTATGGGAGTTACAGAAGCTTTTTCTATTAAAAAAACTCTGAGAGTCAAAGAGTCAAAAGCTCCAGGAGTCACAGATCCGTTTTCTATAGAATTTATTTATAAACTCCTTACAAATCCTTTTGAATAAGCAAATCAATCCTTTCTTGTCACTTTTACTTTAACTCACCCTTTTCTTTAGCCCATTGTTGTTTCTTTATATCTAATAACGTGTGATTTTGCCGGCCTTCAGCTCCCGTAATCATGCCTTTAATGACACACAAAATAAAAATTATATACCGGTCAATGTTTTATTTTTACAACAAAAATTTTTTGCTTCAATTAAAAGTTCATTGCCTCAAAGGTCAATAAATTCTTAAATAAAACACTGCTATACAAAATTTGCTACTTTTTCACTCAACACCCGGAAATACCTTTAGTTTCGTGCAAAGTCTTAAACAAGACTAAAGTCAAAAATAAAAGTTTTCTATTAGTTTTGCGAATTATGTACAATCAGTGATAAATTCCTTTGAATAAACTGAAAATTCCTTTTATTATTATTTTATTATTTTTGGTTTCCTTGTCACTAAATTGTTGTTAACTGTTTTAGCTAAAGTTTCGTATTAATAATTTTGTGTATTGGCATTTTCAATTCGTAGAAGGTTGTCCTGGGCAACCAATACCAAACAAACCATGTGGCAAGTTCGTTTCGAACACATGGGTGATAAACAAAATATATTTCGTGTGAATACATATACGGAAAAAAAGCTTTGACTGTTTTGTTTGTTTACACTTGTTGTGGTAGAGTGAAAGCCTGAGGAAAGCGGTAATGTTTAAAGTGGGTACTTTTAAATTATTTTTGTAGTTTTCAGGGGGTTTTCACTGTATTTGGGTTTCATTATAAAATTATGTTATTTTTTTGATTTTCGTTAAAGTTTATGGTTTTCACGTTGTGTTTATGTTGTCATTTATTTCCTTTAAAACGAACGTCTGCCATAATTTTTTGTGGAGTATGAAGTCCTTGCACTGATTACAAAGTCTGACGTACATATGTTTGTATGCACATAGTTATTCATTATACCCTACACCACTTTAGTGGGGAGGGTATATTGAATTTGTGCTGATGTTTGTAACATACAAAAATATTCGTCCTAGACCCACCTTAAAGTATACCAATCGATTAAGCTATGTCCGTCCGTCCGTCTGGCTGGCTGGCTGGCTGTCCATGTAAACCTTGTGCGCAAGGTACAGGTCGCAATTTTCAAGATAATTGGATTAAATTTGGCACGCACGTTTTATTTGACCCAAGGACGAAGCCTGTTGAAAATGGTTAAAATCGGTCCACTATTTCACCTAGCCCCCATAGAACAGAACCCCCCGAAAAGGGCTTCTGAGCTCATAATTATGTTAAATATACAGATATATCGATAAATTACAGCACAACTAAGTTTTATAGAAGTCTTGATGACCCTACCAAATTTCATAAAGATCGGGCCCCATTTGACCCTAGCTCCCATACAAAGTCCCCATCATATAAATATATTCACAAAATTTTATCGGGCTTGGTCCATATTTGCCCCTAGCCCTCATATAAAGCCTCTTTCAGAAAATTAGTTTTTCATCCATAAATTGCTTAAATGTATCGGAACAAGGGAATATTGAAGATAAATGCGATATTATGAAAAATAAATCACATTTAATATTCATAACTGGTATAGGGTATCATATGGTCGGCCACGCCCGCCTATACTTTCTTACTTGTTTTTGTTTTAAAATAATTTCCTTTAATAGCAATGCATGAATGTTTTTGTTTAAATTAGAAAGGGTTTCACAAAAAAATTAGTGACTACATTATTATAACACACAGTGAACTTGGCTACTAAGGAGGCCAGCAAAATTGAACTAAACTGAACTAGAACTGAAACTAGAAATGAACTAGAACTGAACTAGAACTGAACTAGAACTGAACTAGAACTGAACTAGAACTGAACTAGAACTGAACTAGAACTGAACTAGAACTGAACTAGAACTGAACTAGAACTGAACTAGAACTGAACTAGAACTGAACTAGAACTGAACTAGAACTGAACTAGAACTGAACTAGAACTGAACTAGAACTGAACTAACTGAGAACTGAACTAGAACTGAACACTGAACTAGAACTGAACTAGAACTGAACTAGAACTGAACTAGAACTGAACTAGAACTGAACTAGAACTGAACTAGAACTGAACTAGAACTGAACTAGAACTGAACTAGAACTGAACTAGAACTGAACTAGAACTGAACTAGAACTGAACTAGAACTGAACTAGAACTGAACTAGAACTGAACTAGAACTGAACTAGAACTGAACTAGAACTGAACTAGAACTGAACTAGAACTGAACTAGAACTGAACTAGAACTGAACTAGAACTGAACTAGAACTGAACTAGAACTGAACTAGAACTGAACTAGAACTGAACTAGAACTGAACTAGAACTGAACTAGAACTGAACTAGAACTGAACTAGAACTGACCTAAACTGGAACTAGAACTGAACTAGAACTGAACTAGAACTGAACTAGAACTGAACTAGAACTGAACTAGAACTGAACTAGAACTGAACTAGAACTGAACTAGAACTGAACTAGAACTGAACTAGAACTGAACTAGAACTGAACTAGAACTGAACTAGAACTGAACTAGAACTGAACTAGACTGAACTAGACTGAACTAGAACTGAACTAGAACTGAACTAGAACTGAACTAGAACTGAACTAGAACTGAACTAGAACTGAACTAGAACTGAACTAGAACTGAACTAGAACTGAACTAGAACTGAACTAGAACTGAACTAGAACTGAACTAGAACTGAACTAGAACTGAACTAGAACTGAACTAGAACTGAACTAGAACTGAACTAGAACTGAACTAGAACTGAACTGAACTGAACTAGAACTGAACTAGAACTGAACTAGAACGAACTAGAACTGAACTAGAACTGAACTAGAACTGAACTAGAACTGAACTAGAACTGAACTAGAACTGAACTAGAACTGAACTAGAACTGAACTAGAACTGAACTAGAACTGAACTAGAACTGAACTAGAACTGAACTAGAACTGAACTAGAACTGAACTAGAACTGAACTAGAACTGAACTAGAACTGAACTAGAACTGAACTAGAACTGAACTAGAACTGAACTAGAACTGAACTAGACTAGAACTAGAACTGAACTAGAACTGAACTAGAACTGAACTAGAACTGAACTAGAACTGAACTAGAACTGAACTAGAACTGAACTAGAACTGAACTAGAACTGAACTAGAACTGAACTAGAACTGAACTAGAACTGAACTAGAACTGAACTAGAACTGAACTAGAACTGAACTAGAACTGAACTAGAACTGAACTAGAACTGAACTAGAACTGAACTAGAACTGAACTAGAACTGAACTAGAACTGAACTAGAACTGAACTAGAACTGAACTAGAACTGAACTAGAACTGAACTAGAACTGAACTAGAACTGAACTAGAACTGAACTAGAACTGAACTAGAACTGAACTAGAACTGAACTAGAACTGAACTAGAACTGAACTAGAACTAGAACTGAACTAGAACTGAACTAGAACTAGAACTAGAACTGAACTAGAACTAGAACTGAACTAGAACTAGAACTAGAACTGAACTAGAACTAGAACTGAACTAGAACTGAACTAGAACTGAACTAGAACTGAACTAGAACTGAACTAGAACTGAACTAGAACTCAACTAGAACTGAACTAGAACTGAACTAGAACTGAACTAGAACTGAACTAGAACTGAACTAGAACTGAACTAGAACTGAACTAGAACTGAACTAGAACTGAACTAGAACTGAACTAGAACTGAACTAGAACTGAACTAGAACTGAACTAGAACTGAACTAGAACTGAACTAGAACTGAACTAGAACTGAACTAGAACTGAACTAGAACTGAACTAGAACTGAACTAGAACTGAACTAGAACTGAACTAGAACTGAACTAGAACTGAACTAGAACTGAACTAGAACTGAACTAGAACTGAACTAGAACTGAACTAGAACTGAACTAGAACTGAACTAGAACTGAAAACTGAACTAGAACTGAACTAGAACTGAACTAGAACTGAACTAGAACTGAACTAGAACTGAACTAGAACTGAACTAGAACTGAACTAGAACTGAACTAGAACTGAACTAGAGTTGAACTAGAACTGAACTAGAACTGAACTAGAACTGAATTAGAACTGAACTAGAACTAAGCTAAAATTGAACTAGAAAGACTCTATTCCTGTAGAAAATATTGTGGGTCATAGAGCATTTTTCTATGGAAGTCAAAGAGAAATTTGCTATAGAAATCTATAAGATTGGTAGATCATTTTTTATAGAAAATCTCTATGAAATGTAGAATATAGAATATTTAGTCGTGAAGCAATTTTCTGTAGTAAAACTGTAAATCAAGCATATTTTTTTAGAATTGTGGTTAAAACGCCTTTATTGTGTTTGAGTGTTAATTTTATGTTAAAACAATTTGTGTGTTTTGTTTTTGTTTTCTATTATTGGCCCAATTCATTGACTAAAATACACTTTATTGATTCTAATTTTGCTAGAAATTGTAAAATGACTCCACAAAAAAAGGCAATAGCAACAGCAAAAACAACAATGTTACAACAAAACCTAATTAATTTTGTGGGTTTTTTTTTTTTTTGTCTGTCTTAAATCCAATACAACACACAACAACTTGAGATATTTCCCACAGTCAGTCAGAGCCATAGCAGTGGAGAGTATATGAACAGACCACAAATGTGTAGGCGTCTTGATATTGTCAGTCAAGAGGTCATAATGTACTGCAAATATACAGCAACTCCAACAATAACAAAAATGTTTTGATTTTATTTTAGCTTGTACTTCTTCCTTTTTCTTAAACTTTTTTTTTAAATAGACAATAGAGTGGAGGCAAACAGCCTCAGTACGAAACAAAAACCACTTGATTAGAAGAGCAGATTCTTTTTATTATTGTAGTATTTTGGCTAAAAGAAATCAGGGTATCATAATGAAATTTTATAGCCTTAATACAATAATATGAATGAGATGATGAAGACAAAAAAAATATAAATGTTAAAATCTTGCAAAAAATATGGCCAAATAAAACCAGCCACAAACTGAAAAAAAGACACACTTAAATGGTTAAGATATCATTACAAATGTTGTCTTTAGAGAACGAGTAGTAGAGTGTAAGTACCATCCATCCATTCATTTA